CCCTCGGCCCTTAAAGGGGAAAGGTTGCCTACCCCTGGACTAGATTATCACGCTACACTGTTATAGTGCTGCTATTGCACTTTAATTGCGGTGGCTGCCTCCTGTTGCATTCTGGGATTTGAAGTTTAGGGAGGGGCATTTAGAATTCTAAGCCAGAGCACTCTTAGGCCTCACTGAACTACAAGCCTCAGAATGCAACAGGAGGCAGCCAGAGCAGTAAAAGTGGAATAGCAGCACTATAGGAGTGTAGTGCGGTAATGTGGTACAACTCCTATCATGTCTTACCATATGTTACGTTAGCTGGGACATCTGGGAGTTGGCAGCCCAGAAGTTCCCTCTTTCTGCCTTGCATCCACGAGGGGATAGGTAAAGTACCATACTAAACTTCCTGCAAACTGGATTCTATTCCATAGCTATTGGTAAAATAAGAAATTCCAGGAGAGGAGAGGCTTTTCACACACAATTTTAACAGCAACTGAAAGTTAAATGACAATTTAATAGCCTTTGAACCAGACTGTACGAGTATAAAACACTGGTTTTGTATTTCAAAAGTTGCAGGAAGAGAGCCAGGTCATTTTAAAACAGTCTTCTACAAAACATTTGCCAGTTGGTTACATAAAAGACACTATATACAATATAAAAGCAGAAAATAATCCACACTGTAAAAATAATTTAAAAACAAAATATTTCCATTTAAAATATTTCCTATAGCACAAATACATTTTGACATGCAAGCAAAGCTAACATATTGCATTCTTTAGTGTAGTCCAGTAAATTCTATTATTTAGAACCTGGGCCATAAGAAAACATGCCAACATTTTTAAAATGAACACAAAAGGCCATTCTTAACACTTTGTTATGCTGTGTTACAGAACAGATGTTTTAACTTGCTTAAAAAGGACAGCTATCATACAAATTTTAAAATGGAATAAATATTAAAGTAATGCACATGTATGTTCACTAGCTGGTAGAACTCTTTTGGGAGAGTTAAAAGTGGTTTAAAGAATAAATACAGAAACTTAATGGACAGGTAGGAAACAAACTGTGAGGGATGGAAACCATTTGCAGTTAGAAACATCTGCAAGACCTGTTTTTAAACGGTAGTCTTAAAGCAGTGTTGGTACCAATTTCAGTAGATGCTTCAAAAAAAATAAAAAAATAAAAATAAAATAACACTGTACCAACAAGTGGTATTAAATTATCCAAGCAGATGTAAAATTCACAAGCAATGTATTCTAAAATTATGTTTGAACTCAGTTTTCTGTATTATATTGGAAGCATGAATAGCTCTACACATTTGTATAAGTTATTTGAAAATACAGAAAACACTTTTGTAATTAGTAAAGACTGCGTCCTTATTCTGAATATTATATACACACCTTCAGTACATTTACAAACTCACATCTTGGCAGTGTAGACAAAGATATTGTACATAAAAGTATTTCATATATTGACTTCCTGCATTAAATACTCATTTTGAGTCAAATCAAACCAAGTTTGAGAAATTCTTATTTAATATTTCCTTGCTAAACTTTTGCAAGCCAATAGGCACTATTACATATCCAAAGGAAGTTTTTTTTTTATTAAACTAGCATTTTATATTTATCTAAATGGTTGGGGATTTTCAGGTGCTCACTATGATACTTAATTTACTTGCCATATGCTCACATGCAAATATGCCCAATATTTTTTTAAATAGCTGCCGCAGTAACTTTTGGGAAATACCAGTGTTTAACAGCAAATTATGCAATAACCGAATTAGGAGAGACATAAGCAGGCTTTAAATAAACCCAAACATTACAAAGCGAGAGAGGCGAGAAGAATACCATTCTTTGGTCTAGATTAGCTGTTCCCTTTATATTATATTAACATTCCAATGGCTTTTTTGAACAGTTCAAAAATAAAATTAGGGTGAAATTTGTTAAGCAAAAATACTGTATATATACACACAGATCACACAGATTAACTTAATAAAAGTGAATGCAGTGACAGTAAAAAGATACTTAGTACCTTCTTCAAAATTCAAAACAAAGATTAATGTTGAGTGTGCCTTTATAGAATCTGATTGGAAAAGTTAGAAAACTATGCATGAAAATCTAATCTAGGTGTTTACAAACATTACATCCTTATGGTTTCCTTGCTCTAAATTCAGTACACATTCAATCTGACATGCCAAAATTGCTAATGCTGGTGGAAAAGTTCCTGATACCAGTCAGTAATTACAGTTTGTCTGTTGAATGAGCAAATCCTACGGCTTCATTTACATAAACAGATTCATCAACAGTTTCTTGAACGTCAGTTCCATCTTCCCCAAATCCATTCTCCTCTTCTCTGTCAGGAACATCATCATCTTCAATGCCATTATAGAATTCTTCAATTTCACTTTCATCTTCTACGTCTAAACTTGGACTATGACAGGACCCGCTATCACTGCTACTTCCACAAGAGCTGGAGGAGATGACATCATCTTCGGAGTCTGAATATACCTCAGCACCATGGAAAATATAGCGATTTGGTGGTAAAAACAAGTATTGGGTACCTGAAACATGTTTGATCAGCAAGAGCAGTTATTTCACTGTTAATAATCCAAGAGATCCTACATAAAACTTGACATATTCAGTATTTAGACTGGAGTTTGTGATATTTTGTACTCGGTTCCTTTAAGTACGTATATGCTTATAAGTGATTCTTTGGTGGATTAATGAAAGGAAAGTATCACTGAAACATGAATTTACTTTTGCATGGAACTATACCTAATCTTATCTTTCCCTCATCCCATTTTCCCTTTTGCTGCTAAAAGAGTCGTATAGGCATTTTACAGAATAACACTGCATTTACTACATTTAAATTCCCCAATATTTACACTCTTTATTTACATTTTCCTCATTACAAATATTCTTTAATTTATTGTAAGATTCAATCCCGTCTTCCCTTCTTTTCCTTCCTTCCTCCCACTCCCAACCATAGTTAATAAGAAAAATATATACCGCTGTCTATCACTGTAAATCTAACTCACCTTCAAGGTACTGACAAATAGTTTGTATATTGTTCTCAACATTTTAAATATTCCATATTGTGGATATATCTGGAATCTCTTTAGTGGTACATTGGGTGCTATTTATGACTTTCTCAATTAAGTAATATATGAAGGCATTCATCCTGCTTGCTTTGCAACTATCCAGCCAAGACTCACGCTATATATTGTACACATTTTAATACTGAGCCAAAGAAACAAATCATTACAATTTTAAGTAAGCAGTGGCTAGATATTAAATTCTTCAGATACTATTTGAAACTGCAATTTCTGTGGTTTAATTATGAAAAATTTTCTATAGAACAATTTGTTCCCTTTATTTCCACACAGTTTCTTTTCCCTAAAAGATGTATATGAATTAGGAATAATTTCAGACTGTGTTAATGACTGTATCGTATAAATAACAACCATAGGTTCAGAGCTTACTGTTTAAAGACTTATTAAAAGCCAGTTAAGTACATGATCATTTAGATGGACTATGTAAATTGCAAGAGGAGGTCTGTTCAATTCTTGAAATTGCTACATGCTGTTCATGCTGCATTTATTACATGAAAATATAATCTCCCATTCCAAACAAAATGACCCATGTACGCTTTGTTTTACATTCAAAGTCAAATTTTATATACTATGATACATTCTGAAATAAAAAGGAAAATGTATTGTTGTTTTAATATAGCTCATAAAGGAAGAAATAATATCCACACTTCATATCTATCAGACGAGCAGAAAGTTGAGGCTTAGTGAACATACTACTGCTACTACATTGAAAGTCATTTGTGTACAGATGTTCACTATATCAATTAAGTCAATTTCTATGTGCCACTGCAAAAAAAATTTGATAGCGTGGAGAACACCTCACATCATATGTTGAAAATGATTTTGAATGAACTGCTTAACACTAGAGATATTTTGTAAGATTTTGACAGACACCAATCCTTACAAACTGATGAAATATTGATCATGTTCCAAATTTCTTTTTTGATTCTGCTTGAAACAGTGAACTGTTTGGGATTTGTTGAAGTACTAGTGGTAACTGATGCCTTAAGTGGCACAGACTTGAAGTTAGTTCAGGTGATCCTTAAAATCATGTCCTAGATTAATCAGCAGTGCACTACAAACAGCTTCTATTCCTGGTCTGAGCAAACCTTAGTTTGCTGAGATGGTCTCAATCAAGGAAACTATGGACTTCTTAAATATGGAGGAGAATTGGCATGTGCAAACCTGGGGTTCATGTCTTCTATTCTATCAAACTGTAATGGAGGGAGATAAGAAGCAATCCTAGTTCCACCAGGGTCCTCTCCTGGAATTGATTCCATTTGAGGTTAGCATTTCAAGAGCTACTATTTAGTCTTAAGTCTTAAATTTTTAAGGCTGTAAACATGCTGGCAGGGATTCTCTTGAATTTATGTGAGCTGCTCTGGCAGCCTTCTGAGTTCCTTTTAAATAGATACAGACAGAGTGCTTGACAAAGTAATCCAATACATCAGGTGTAGGCATACTAATAGATCTGTTGGGTGGTCTGCAGTAGTTCACAAAGTGCTTTTCACGCCCAAATGTGCAACAGCAATTATACAAACTCGTTTCTCCTCCCTACCAGCTCCCTCCTCAAATTTGGATAGGAGACATGAAACAAAGCTCAGTGAGAAATCCATGAAAAGCTTTTGTATGACAAAATAGAGAGCTCTGATCGGACACTAAGAACAAGTTCTTGGCCTTACCATGTACCCATGTTTCTCAGCT